CCGTTTAAAACACCTGATCACCTCTGCAGAAATTACCATGGAGTTCAACTCTTTCCTGCTGTCAGTAGTTACTGAATAAAACGTGTTTTTCCATTGTTGTTTTTATCATTTCAACTAACATCTGGTTGTGTTTATCTTTGACACCATCAGTCTCAGAAGGGAACAAAGAAACATGCTATTTTAGTATAGTACAGTGGCTGCGTTGTTCAAAGTTGAAGCATGTATGTGAATCGTCTCCAGAGTCTTGAACTATTGGGAGTAGCATAAATGCAGAATTTTATCTCATTGTATTACCAAACCCAGGTTTGGCTGCTCACGGCTGAAAAGCCAATAATGGAGAAGGAAGTGTCAGGAGGGAAAGATGTTTTAATCAGAAAATCTGGTAGTCCGGAGAGAAGGTGGACTCATGACCCGAGACCAACTCTGAAAATTCTGGTCAGCCATGACAGTTTTGTTTTGTTTTTTGGCCACACGTTGCAGCATGTGGGATTTTATTTCATGAGCTGGGGTCGAATCCATGCCCACTGCAGTGAAAGCCTGAAGTCTTGATCACTGGACTGCCAGGGAATTCCCAGCCATGATAGTTTTTAAAAGGAAAAAGGGGAAAGAATCTCAGTGAATCGTCAAAGCAGGAGGTTAGTTTCTGCAAATTTTCCATTGCATTCAGTCTGGCTGACTTCGGATGTTACCCCTGTGGGATCTGCCTGCAGAATTGCTTAGGGATCTGTCAAGGGTAGAGAGCTAGTCATTCTTTACTTAATTCTTTTTAATCTAGGAAAACAATGAACAGGTCAGGCAAGGTATGGTGTGCATTCAGGAGAGCATAAGTCAGGAATTAGTTTAAATTGTTTACTGATCTCATTCCTTTAATTAGGTTCTTTCAAGGTGAGGGGGGACAGAAATGGGCAAATAGGAACAGGGCCAAAGAGCAGCTTTCAATTGACGTGATTATTATTTCCTTTGTGATTGCAGGGACTTTTCTACAGTTGGGAATTTGTATTGTCTGTGTTAGCATTCTCCGTAAAAACAGAAGCAGTAGGATATAGAGATACAGTTCCATATCTGCGAGTTCTGCATCCCAGGATTCAGCCAACCCCAGATGCAGAACCCCGACATCCAGAGAGCCAACTGTGCTGGGCCATCTTATGTAAGGTAATTGAGCATCTGAGGATTCTGATATCCAAGTGATGGAGGCTGGAACCAGGTCCCTGTGGATACATCCCCTGAGAGATGACTATGTTAAGAGGACATTTATTATAGGAATTGGTTATGGAGGCTGAGAAGTCCCACAACCTGCTGTATGCAAACTGGAGAACCAGAAAAACTGCTGGTATCATTTAGTGCAAGACCGAAGGCCTGAGAACCAAGGGCCTGCTGGTGTAAATCCCAGTGTGCAAAGGGTCAAGATCCATGAGATCTCATGTCTGAGGGCAGGGGAAGATGGGCTAGTTCTGCACAGACACTAATGGTGAGTCCAACACATTCACCATGACAGCCTTACCGTAGACTTTCCCATGAGACCAGAGTGCTGCTCTCATCCAGATGAGACAAGCACCATAAGCACTGGCTCATTCTGATGACTATGTGTGTCTCCTTTTCCTTGCTGTCTTCTATTTTGTTCTTTTGGATAACTTTGATGATAAACCCACACCATGGTCTGACGAACACCTGTGCACTGGTGTCTTCAGGCTTCTGGCAATTCATCTGCTTCCTGCTCTTTGACAGTGACACACAAGTTTCTCAGTTCTGTTTTGTCTGTTGGGCAAGGAGAACAGAGGTTCCAAGTGTAGTCTCTGGGTTATAAGTTCATTCTAGAAGATCTCAATATTTACATAATCAACTTTTTATATTTGTAGGCTCACATTTTATGCTGTTTACCCAACTGGGACATTTTGATTCAAAATTGAATAACGATGATGATAACTGCTTCATACTGCATATAGTGTATAGAAACATGAATGGTATTAATAACTATTTTAACATAATTATTTAAATTGTATAGTGTTATTCACTAGAGGTTCAAAGAATTTTATAATATATATAGGAATGTTCAGGGTAGAAAACCACTGCTGATTTGAAATTTATGTTGACGCCTAGAAGATTTAATTTACAAAGCATTGTAGGAAAAAATATGTTTCAATGGAGAGAAAAAGACTTGAGAATACTCTGAGTTGGAAAGGTACATGTGGAGTTCAAAGAACAGAAGGAAGATCTTCTGTTTAGGGTATTGTGTGATGGGGACAGTGGGTAGCAAAGAAGCAGAGAAAGTAGGTATCTGAGGTTATCTCGAGGATTAGAATGAACACAGTTTTTTGTTGGGGAGACGATGGCTTTGTGAGGGATTAGTCAAGTAGGATAAATAATCATAATTGTTTAAGATAAAAGGTGCTAAGTATTGAAATGAATTTATTTTATTAAACTATATTTTAACACCTTTTAATGTTTGTTTCAGTTGGGAGCTTTCTATTTGTTTTAAAAAGTTAGTAGTGATTATGCATTTATGGAATTTAGAGTATTCAATGGGCAGCTTCTGGAAGTTATGTTTTCTTTTTTTTTTTTTGCGTTACGCTGACCTCTCACTGTTGTGGCCTCTCCCATTGCGGAGCACAGGCTCCGTACGCGCAGGCTCAGTGGTCATGGCTCACAGGCCCAGCCACTCCACGGCATGTGGGATCTTCCTGGACCGGGGCACGAACCCGCATCCCCTGCATTGGCAGGTGGACTCTCAACCACTGCACCACCAGGGAAGCCCTGGAAGTTATGTTTTTACAAAAGTCACTTCTAGAAATTACTGTGAGCCATTAGCACGTGCAGGATACTTTCAAATAGTTGAATTCTCTTTGCCTGTTTATCTCACAGCTTTAGTAACTCTATTGCCTTTTATTACCACTAACAGTTATATTAACTTAGTAATATACATATGTTAAAGTCCTAACGCCTAAGTGACTGTATTTGTAGACAGGACCTTTAGGGAGGTAATTAAGGTTAAACGAGGTCATAAGGGTGGGGCCCTAATTCATTAGTACTGGTTTCCTCATAGGAGGAGTAGACACTAGGTGTATGCCCACAGGGACAAATAAGGCCATTTGAGGACCCAGTGAGAAGATGGCCTTCCCAAGCCAAGGAGAGAGGCCTCAGGAGATACCAAACCTGTTGACACATTCCTCTCGGACTCCCAGCCTCCAGAAGTGTGAGAAAATAAATTTCTATTGTTTAAGCCAATCCTTGTATGGTACTTTGTTATGGCAGTTCTAACAGATTAACACAAACATCATTAATGTGTTCTCTTTCCCAAATAAATAGTGAGGCACAACATGCAAAGAGACAGCAGAGACAATTGGTATAATTCTAAAAATGGTACAAAACTATAAATTAGCTTTGGGAGGGAAGGGAATTTAATATGGAGTTTCCTATTTTGCTTCCACTTGTGCTGCAAACCAAAACTTAGCTCCAATTTGCAAAGTCCCCAAAGAAGCCCAGTAGTGAGAGTCAGACTTTAAAACTCAGAATCACTCTTATTTCCTGCAGTGTGTTGTGGGTTACAGCTGTAATGGAGTAACAGGGTCTGACTTACCCTCTTGTTGTCATCAACTGTAAAACTACAAAATACAAGAGAATCCAACACATTCACAGCAACAGCGTTTTCCCTAGACTTTCCCATGAGACCAAAGCACCATTCTCTGGGAAAAAAGCCGTGTTCACCATTCTCATCCTGGTGAATATGCTGTCTCCTTTTACCCTGTTCTCTTCTATTTTATCTTTTTGGATAAGTCTGATTATGAACCCACAACATGGTCTAATGAACACCTCTGCAAAGGTATTTTCAGGCTTACCAAGATCCATCCTTTTGTTATCTTTGGTAGTGACACTCAGCTTTCTGTTTTGCTTTGCCTTCTGGGCAAGGAGAACAAATATTCTAAGTGTAGCTCCTGGGCTATAAATTCTCTCTAGAACACCCTACCATTTATTTAATCAACTTTATATATTTGTAGGCTCACAATTTATATCATTTCATCTTTCAGAATATTTAGATTTGAAATCGAGTAACAGTGACAATAACTGCTTCATATTACATGTAGAGTATAAAAACAGCAAAGATACTCATAATTATTCAAAACCAATTTTCTAAAATGATATACTGTTATTCACCACAGGTCCAGGGAATTTTATGGTAATATAGAGAATATTCAAGATTTAAGAGTGTAGGTTATAACAGCACTTTAAACGTTAAACTATGTTGACACTTAAAAGATTTATTTGAATTTACAAAGCATAGTGGGGAAAATAGATGTTTCATTTGGAGAGAAAAAAACCTGGGAATACTCTGAGTTGTAAAGTCTCATATGGAATTTATGACTGAAGGAAGATCAATGTGTTTTTGTTATAGTGTGTGATGGGAAGAGTGATGAGAAAAGAAGCAGAGGAAGCAGGTGAAGGCTTCTTTTGCCAGGTATCAGAGGATATCTCAGTGATCAGAATGATCTGAACTTTTTGTAGGGAAGATGATGAGTTTGTGAGGGATTAGTCAGGTGGGATAATAATCAGTGTTATATATGATAACAAGTGTAAGTATTCAAGTGAATTTATTAAACTATATTTTTGCATCATTTAATATTTGTTTTAATTGAAAGTTTGTGTTTGTTTGAAATAGTTCTTAGAAGTGATGAATTTATGAGCGTCCCTTGTGGTGCAGTGGTTAAGAATCCACCTGCCAATGCAGGGGACACAGGTTCAAGCCTTGGCCCAGGAAGATCCCACATGCCTCAGAGCAACTAAGCCCATTTGCCACAACTACTTAGCCTGCGCTCTAGAGCTTGCAAACCACAACTACTGAAGCCCACGTGCCACAACTACTGAAGCCTGTGCACCTAGAGCCCATGTTGCACAACAAGAGAAGCTAGTGCAATGAGAAGACTGAGCACTGCAATGAAGAGTAGCTGCTGCTCGCCACAACCAGAGAAAAGCCTGCACACAGCAACGAAGACCCAATGCAGCCAAAAATAAAATAAAATAAAATAAGTAAATTTTAAAAAATAAGTGATGCATTTATGGTATTTAATAGGCATATTTTGGAAATTATGCTTTTATAAAGGCAATTTCAGAAATTACTGTGATCTATTGGCAATTGGAAGATACTTTTAAAAGTTGAATATTCTTTTCCTCTTTATTACCCAGCTTTAGTAAACCACTTGCCTTTTATTACCACTAACATATATTAACAGAATGCTTTTCATAGGTTGAAACCCTAACCTACAATGGGATTGTAGTTGGACATAGGTCATTTATAGAGGTAATTAAGGATAAGTGAGATCATAAGAGTGTGGCTGTATCCCATTAAGACTGGTTTCCTTCTGTTGACAAAAACTCAATTAACAATCAAGTTAAGAAGAAAAAAGTGAATTTTATTCAAGCCAAACTGAGGATTATCACCCAGGAGACAGACTCCCAGAATCTCTGAGATCTGTTCTGCCTTTTAGAAGTTGAAGGCACAATTATTTACATTTTTCAGACAAAGGATTGTACAAAAAAATGACATACTGACATTTTACATAAAGTTCATAGGCCAAGTAAGCATGTACAAAGCGAGCAGTGAGTCACCATGACCCCCAACAGAGTTTGGAAAGAATGCTAATCTTTTAAGAAGTTCCATTGCTAACATCAGAAGAAAGGGGAAAAAAATTGATCTTTACATTCAAGAAAGCATTCCCATCTTTGAGGAGGACTAGTTAGTGTGTGCAGTGGAATAACTGAGGACGTGGAAAGGAGACGTGACCCATGAGCCCCCGCCCCCCAGCAAACTGGGGGCTGGCGAATAAGCCAGAACTGTAAACAGTCCTGAATGCTTTGAGTTCCCCCCCCCCACCGGCAAATCGGGGGCCTTCGAATAAGCATTGAGTGCTTCGGGCACTGATCCATGCGATGTTCTCAGTATAATCAGAATAGTGGGAACACAAGGCAATGTCCTTGTGCTGCTTTTACGCTCAAGGACGAAGCACGGCATGTTTTCAAGAAAGCCCATTATTGCTTGTATAATCAATAAAAACATATGTTGCTGCTTTGGTATTTCTGGAATGTTAAGAAAACAAGTCTTAAAATGTAAACATAGGTAATGCTTAAATAAAAGCTACCACAGCAGGACAGATGGCGCTGTTTTGCCTGAGCGAGCGGCAGCCCTCTACTGCTGTGCTTCGGCACAATTCATCTCGTGTGATGAGTTTACTTTCGGCCCTGTCATAAGAAAAACTACAACATTTGGCGCCCGAACAGGGACCTGAATGTAAGTAATCGCGTGATCGCAGGACCGAAGGGGAAATTGGTCCGCTCAAGAGTAAGCGAAACCTTCGGGAGCAGTAGAGTAACTGTAATGGGGAATTCCCACTCAGTAGACTTTCAATACATTAGACTCCTGAAACAGTTATTACGGAGTTCAGGAGTGAAAGTGAAACCAGAATCTTTTGATGAATTGTTTGCGCTGGTTCGTAAACATTGTTACTGGTTTCAACCTACTGGTCATAACCAGTTAAATTTAAAAGTTTGGAAACAGGTTATGCGAGCCTTAAGAAGAGCTCATCAGCATGGAGACCCTATATCTGTCCGTGTTTGATCTCTTTGTAAATTAATTTCCCTTGTCCTGGAACCATTACAATCTGAAACTGAAAGTGAAAATGGGGCGCGCCCTCAGCGTCCGAATTCTGCTCCCTATCATTCTGCTTTTCGTAAGTCTCCTATAGAGGACCTTCCTCCGCCTCCTCCTCCCCTTGTGTCTGAGACAGGAGAGGATTTTTCAGGTTCCAGTGATGAAGGGGCTTTTTCTGATGGTGATAAAGATCGGGAGCAAGCTAGCAAACAAAATGAGATGCCACTTTCTCAACAGAATGAGATTTCTGATATACTTTCAAAGTTGAAAAATTTGATGACTGAATTGGAAGAAAATAAAAACAATGCTGCCACCCCTTCATATCAGGAGCCATGTCCTACTATTCCTTCAGCTCCTCCTTTAGAATTAGTAGCTTATCCTGTTGGAGCCTCTCGTCAGTTTCGCTTTCCTCTAAAACCTGAATCTAATAGACTATTGTTGGAAGAAGAGATGAATAAGGAAGAAAAGCAATATTCTGAATCATTTTTTGCTTTCCCTATTGTTAGACAAGCTATGCCTGCTAATGATCAATTTCCGAATGGATATGTAAGTGTTGAGTATAACCATCATGATATAAAATTTTTTAAATGCTAAAAGAAGCCATTAATGCGTATGGGATGCATTCTAATTATGTTCAAGGACTTTTGTCTGGGTATGCTACCGAAAACATGTTAATTCCTCATGATTGGGAAGCGATTGCCAAAACTGTTCTTGAACGTGGACAATATATGCAGTTTAAAACTTGGTGGAGAGAGGACGCTGAAAACATGACAAGGTCTAATACAGCCCATAATTCTCCAGAGCCACTTTTAGATGAATTAATAGCAGCAGGCGCATTTAGTGATCTACAAGCTCAAGCTCAATTTGATGATTTACGAATCATTCAAATATGTATGTGTTGTTTACGAGCATGGTTACGAGTGGAACCTCCTGGAAAAACAGCACAATCTTTTACTAAGTTAATGCAAGGGCCTGGTGAGCCTTACACTGATTTCTTGTCCAGACTGCGTGCAGCCATTCAAAGAGCTGTAGCACAAATAGAGGTGCAAGATTTATTATTACAATCTTTGGCCTTTGAGTATGCAAATCCTGAATGCCAGAAGGCATTGCGACCTTTACGGGCTGTAAACGCTCCACTTGAGGAGTATATAAAATCTTGCCATGATATTGGATCTCCTACTTATCATGCCAATTTACTTGCAGCTGCTATAAATGAATAATTACAGACTCTCAGTATGTGGAATTTACAGTTAAAAATATTGAGACCGCTTTTATCCCAAATGATGGATCAGAACTGCACTCTTTATTTTTGCAAATACAACATATAATTAGACTACGTACTGCACCACTTTATATTACTCATATTCGTGCTCATACTCATTAACCCGGCCCATTGGTAGATGGAAATGATTTTATTGATACTTTAGTGGGTACCGTAGAGTTAGCTACAGCAGAACATCACAGATATCATACTAATGCCAGAGGATTGAAAAATAAATTTAATCTTACATGGAAACAAGCAAAAACTATTCTCCGTACATGCCCGCAATGTGCTGCCATTAATCAACCTTGTTTGAATATTGAAGTTAACCCTAAAGGCTTATCTGCTAATGCTATCTGGCAAATGGATGTAACTCAATATCCTGGTTTTGGAAAGTTAAAATATATTCATCATTCTGTATATACCTACTCTCATTTTTCATGGGCACCTCCATTATCTTCTGAAAAAGGTGATGCTGTAATAACTCATTTATGAGAAGCTTTTACTGTTATGGGAGTTCCCGACAGCATAAAAACTGATAATGCTTCTGCATATCACTCTCAAAAATGTCAGACTTTTTTTGCCACACATAATATACGGCATGTTACAGGTATCCCAGGAAATAGTATGGGACAAGCCGTTATTGAACGACAAAACAGCACTTTGAAAGAAATGTTTATAAAACAAAAAGGGGGAGATGAGGTACAAAGTCCTAGGAAAAGAATACATATTGCTTTATTTATTCTTAATTTTTTCAATCATGGAGAAGATGGTTTTAGTGCAGCTGACAGACATTGGACAAAAATAAGTACACAAGAACTTAGACAGCCTGTTTCTATATTAAATGAAAATACTAACACTTGGAAACCTGCCGAGGTTCTTCGTTGGGGCCGGGGATATGCTTTTGTTTCTGAAGGAGCTGAATCTTTTTGGGTGCGGGCTAAAAAGATAAAGCTTCGGGATGGCAACTAAGCGTAGCTTTGATGTGACGGGAATGACGAAGGGATTTGCGGAGATGGATTTGAGCAAGAGAGCATTCCGTGTGCCATTGGATCGAACAAAGAGGGCGTCTCCATTGACCTGGGGGCAAGTGAAAAAGTTTGCAGGCACTGCTGAAAATCTTGTCATTTCACAGGGTAAACCCCTCACTAGCACCAATCTTTTTGTGGCTATGTTGGCAATGTTGTCTGCACAGGTAATAAGCATATCAGCCAATGAGATAAATTGTACTAACCATACTTATTGGACTTATATTCCCAACCCTCCTCTTAATATGGGGGTTACCTGGTGGGATGCCCCAATTCTTGTATATGTAAATGAGTCTGGATGGTTGTCTGGTCCTTTTGATGATAGAGGCCCTTTGAAGCCGGAAGAAGGAAGGATAATAGAGAATTACACGGTGGGTGTTAATGGACCTCCTATTTGTATGTGAAAGGGAGATCATTGCCTTAAAATGAATTATCAGGCATGGTTAAGTGTTGTCAAAAATGAAAACAGATATCATGGGTTATATCTTTTGAGTGCTTATAGTTTTAAAAGTTCTAATTCCACTCTTAATGAGAATGTTTCCACACCTTACTTGCCTCATGCCAGGTGCCTCTTGTGGATCGATTATCGGATTGGGTCCATTGGACTCGATGCCGAGGAGAAATGGCTCGGGTTCTTGTTAATACTTCTTGGGGAAGCGTCATTGATTGGAGACATTTTGGCTCCGCCAGAGGAAAAAGGGGTCTGAAGAATTTACACTGGCATAGAGAGGATAACACTATTTATAGCAATACTATTAATGATACCATAGTATGGCATGCTGGAGGGTTTTCTCCAGGTCCTCATTTAAATGGATATCCTATACAAAAGGACTTGTGGAAGCTTATGACAGCTTTGAAAAAGATTAATGCCTGGGTAGGACATATGGTTAACAAATCTGAAAATCATAGTTTGACTTTTCATAAAAATGTTACTTGGTATACTCGTAGTTGTGTGAAATTACCTTATATATTGTTAAAGGGACCAGCTGTATGGAATGAGACTCAAGGTATTATAATGTGTAAAAATTGCTCTCTGTATACCTGCATTAACTCTAGTATATCTTTTAACATATCTACTGAAAGTTTGTATATCTTACGAGCTCGGACAGGTCTTTGGCTTCCTGTCAATCTTGGAAGGGAATGGCAAGAATCTCTTCCTATGGCTGTTTTGCAATATTTAGCTGATGCATTAAAAAGAAGTAAAAGATTTGTAGGAATGTTGATTGCAGCTGTCATGGGTATTATAGCCATAACAGCTACTACTGCAGTAGCTGGAGTTGCTTTAGAACAATCTATTCAGACTGTTGATTATATAACTGATTGGCATAAAAATTCTGAAATGCTTTGGTCCTCTCAACGACAAATTGATTCGGAAATCCATTCGGAAATAGCAGACTTACAAGCTGTGGTTATGTTGGGAGACCAACTTGTAAATTTACAAAGACAAATGAAGCTACGTTGTGACTGGAATCAAAGTGCCTTTTGTGTCACTTCGGTTCCATATAATCAGTCTGCATTCCCCGGGGCAAAAATAAAAAGGCATTTATTACATCACAAAAATTGACAGAAGAAATTGTGAATTTACAAGGGAAAATTCAACAAACTTTTCAGAAGAGATTACAACGACTTAATTCACAAGAAGTATGGACTGGAATTATACAAGGACTTAATAATCTAAATCCCAAGTCTAAATTACATGCTTTATTTGGTTCTACTGCAGGATTGCTAATGCTCATTATAATAATAATCATATGTTTAATTGTAGTCCGAGGACGAGTGAAAGCTACCCGCCATGCAACATCGCAACAAGCTGCCGTGTTCTCCTTGATGTTGCACAAGCTGCAAAACAAAAAGGGGGAAATGTAGTGGAATAACTGAGGACATGGAAAGGAGACGTGACCCATGAACCCCCACCCCCCACCCCCAGCAAACTGGGGGCTGGCGAATAAGCCAGAACTTCAAGCAGTCCTGATTGCTTTGAGCCCCACCCCCGGCAAGCCGGGGGCATATGAATAAGCCAGAACTGTAAACAGTCCTGAATGCTTTGAGCCCCCCCTCCCCGGTAAACCGGGGGCCTGCGAATAAGCATTGAGTGCTTTGGGCACTGATCCATGCGATGTCCTCAGTATAATCATAATGGTGGGAACACAAGGCAATGTCCTTGTGCTGCTTTTGCGCACAAGGACGAAGCACGGCATGTTTTCAAGAAAGCCCAATATCACTTGTATAATCAATAAAAACATATGTTGCTGCTTTGGTATTTCTGGAATGTTAAGAAAACAAGCCTTAAAATGTAAACATAGATAATGCTTAAATAAAAGCTACCACAGCAGGACAGATGGCGCTGTTTTGCCTGAGCGAGCGGCAGCCCTCTACTGCTGTGCTTCGGCACAATTCATCTCGTGTGATGAGTTTACTTTCGGTCCTGTCATAAGAAAAACTACAACAGTGTGTAATGCAGATGCACACTGCACATTAAGGAGGCAGGGAGGCCAAAACAGAAAATTTTATGTTTAAATTTTCTTGTCCTTCCTTAAAATGTAAATTTTATTTCATCACTTATAAGAAGAGGGATAGACACCAGGAGTATGATCACAGGGAGAAAAGGCCATGTGAGGACACAGCACGAAGTGGACTACCCAAAGGCCAAAACAGAGGCCTCAGGAAAAATTAAAACTGTTGACACCTTCCTCTTAGACTTCCAGCATCCAGAGCTGCGAGAAAATAAATTTCTGTTATTTAAGCCACCCAGTCCAAACTGTTACTGAACCAGTTTCATGTGACCTACGCACAACAAGCCAAACGCTGAGACACTGTGGTTTGCAGCAGAGAAACTGTTTATTCACAAGGGAGCCAAGCAAGGAAAAGGAAGGGCAAATCTCAAATTCATCTCCCCAAAGGCAAGGGGCTAGGAATATTTATGGGATAAAGCTTGGCAGGGGTGAGGGTGGGGATTGAAGATACGGAAAAGGTGCAATAATTGTTATTCTGCACAAGTAAAAGTAAGCTACAGACTTCTTCATGAGATAAATGTTCAGAAAATGGCAGGCTTAGCATGTTCTGAGGGTGGGCTTTTGGCCCTCTGACATCAAAAACCATCTAGCTGGGGACTTCCCTTGTGGCACAGTGGTTAAGAATCCGCCTGCTAAAGCAGGGGCACTGGTTTGAGCCCTGGTGTGGGGAGATCCCACATGCAGCGGAGCAACTAGGCCTGTGTGCCACAACTACTGCCTGCACTCTAGAGTCTGTGAGCCGCAACTACTGAGCCCATATGCCACAACTACTGAAGCCCATGCACCTAGAGCCCAAGCTCTGCAACAAGAGAAGCCATGGCAATGAGGAGCCCGCGCACCGCATCGAAGAGTAGCCCCTGCTCTGCTCGCAGCAACTAGAGAAAGCACGTATGCAGCAACGAAGACCCAACACAGCCAAAAATAAATAAATTAATTAACTAAAAAAGAAAGTCACCTAGCCAACACTTGCATATACCCAGTTGGAGAGTCAGTGGTCTTAGCAGTTTTAACCAACTTGAGCTCAAACTGGACACAGGTGACCCCAATTTCCTAAAAAGCAACTTGGCAAAGATCTTATTGTTTAGGCTATTTGATGCTTGGGAGTACGTGCACGTTTTTGTAAAAGCAAAGTGAGGTTGATCAGTGAAGGCAGGTTACAATTTATTTTTTATTAATAGCTTATGACTACCCTCGGTTTCAATAGTATTCAAATGTTATGGCAACCCTAGCAGACTAACACAATTCTCATTCAATATTTTCTTGTCACCAAATAAATAAATGAGCTCAACACCCAAAAAAATATAGTTAGGCCTAACTATATTTACAACACCACTCCTGCCATCACAGTAAAATCGGCCATGAGAAGATTGAAGGAATTGAAGGACCAGTAGAAACAGCACCAGTTGAAACGCTGCTACCCTTTAATAAATGGGTTAATTTTTGTAACAAAATTTAAATATGTGTGTGTGTGTGTGTGTGTGTGTGTGTGTGTATGTAGTTAGGGGACACAATAGTTAACAATTCTAAAAAGGCCACAAAATTAAAAATTAGCTTTTATACAATTTAGGACATTTAGTTTGGCAGTTCCTATTTTACTTCCACTTCTGTTAATCCTGTTGATTTTTGTTTCCACTTCTGAAAATGACAGATAATACAAGCAAGGGAGCCGTTTTTTATGGGAACCAGCAGAGGCTGAGCTCCTGCTGGTCCGCCTGCTTCAGGGGGCTGCAAAACTAACGCTCGGGTTGAACAGTATCAACTCGCTTCGCTGCGGTCCCCAGAAGGCCCCTGGCCGAGAGGCCGCAGTTACAAACCCACGACCAATCAGGGTGAGGAGTTCCCGCGCGTGCGCATCGTGTCGGGGCGGGACTTCCGGCGACCTCCTTTCGGCGGTCATTTTCGCTTCCTCCTGGTCGGTTCGGCCTCGGAGTGTTGTGTCAGGTTCTAGGTGACGGGACCGAGAAAGTCCGAGGGGAGGGTCTGTCCCCGCTACTCAGGGGTGCGTCTGAGGCTCGGCGACGCAGCACGGGCTGCCCTGCGCCAGACCCGGGAAAGTGACCACCGTGCCCGCGTCTCACCTCCTCTGTCGCAGCTCCCGGCCCCGCTCCGCCCAGGGAGTCCGATGGCGGTGGCGGCCCTGAGGGACCCGCCTGAGGTAAACACTCGTCCTCCGGCCCCTCACCGCCCTCACTGCACTAAACACTAAAGCCCCGAGTGCGGGACGCCTGCTCATGTGCCCGCAGCCCAGGTGGCGATGTCCAGGACGGTGAGGCGGCCTTGGGTGGGGCGTGGGCGAGGGTGACAGGCGGAGGGACCGGCAGGTGCAAAGGCTTGGAAGTCGGACTGAGCCAGGAGGATTCGGGAAACCTGGGGTGCATCTTATGACTGCAGTAAAGAGAGTGTGAGGTGGAATCACGCCTAGACCGGCAGAGAGAGAGGTTGTTCCTTTATTCTGAGGGACCTGGGAGTCACAGAGGGCTATGAACGGACGAGGAACAGTGTATGTGAGGGCTTTAAAAGTTTTCAAAGAGCTGCTCAGAGAAGAGAACGAACGGATTGGAATGGGGGTGACAAAGAGAGTCCTCCTCCAAGGTCACAGGATCTGATGAGAGGCAGCATTGGTTAGTCAGTCAGCCCGAGGTCACTAGGTTCCAGGGCTGGGTGGGGATACAAGGGAGTCCTGCACACATGGAGCCCAGCCATGGTTGCCTTCCTTTTTCGCCCAGGTTCTGAAGGTTGAAGAGGCACTTATGGAACCTATGTAAGGCAGGAGAGGGTGTCCCAGTCCCTCACTGGTTCTGGGTGGCTAATACTGAAACAGAGATCAGAAGCAAGGCAGGCAGGGCTTTCCCTGGCTATGGGCTCCCTCAGAGAACTGGGATTGTACCAGATCATATTTGATTTTGTTAAGCACTCTGTGGATGCCACGTTCCAAGTACCTGGGTGAGTCCAGAGAGGTGCCTGTGATGTGGGGCAGGGAGGTGGTAGAGCTGTGGGAGTGCAACTGTGAGGTCTGAAGATGTGAAAGAGGTTTGGTCAACTGAATGACGTGCACATCAAGGGGAAGTGTGAGCTGAGGGCCCACAGGACCTGGTGTTGGGGATTAAGGGTAAAGATGAGCCCATGTTTTGCTGTGTCTTGGAGGCACAATGTGGGAGACCTCAGGGGAATTACTTCGGGGGAGGGATGGGGCCCTGTAGGCCAGGCCCAGCGTTTAGATGGCGTTTATCCCCCCGGCCACCGCCTTTTGTGGCTGAGGGTTGAACACAGTGAGGAGAGATCAGGCATCATTGGCACGAGGCCTGACGTGGGGAGCTCTGATGGAGGATGACCATGGAATACATGTGTGAGGAGATGAATTGTGGGTCCTCAGAGAGAGAATGTTTATGTTTCATCTATCTCATTCATGACAGGTTGGTGTGACCTTTGAGGACATTGCCCTGTACTTCTCCTGGGAGGAATGGAAGCTCCTTGATGAGGCTCAGAGACGCCTGTACCATGATGTGATGCTGGAGAACTTTGCACTTATATCTTCACTGGGTAAGAGCCTCACCCTCCCCAGTGACCTGGGCTAGGCTCTGTATCCTTCCTCACCCTCTCTTCTCCAAGGTGTACTCTGTCCTTCTCACATATGGACCTTGGGCACTGTTTGTTTCCCCAGCTTTCTGGGTAGTTGCTGTGATAGGTAGGGCTGGGTTGTTTGCACTGCCCTCTTCTCTCCCCATAGCCCCAATACAGTCTGTACTTAACCCTCGTAGGGATGGATTTGAGGTCAGCAGTCTTGCAGTTAGGCTAATACTTGCCCTTTCCCTGGTCAGGTGGTGTATCCACGTCCATGGCACTTCTGTGTCCCAGGTTTTGTTCCTTTTTAACATCTGACATTTCGTTCTGCCTCCATATGCCAGGAATTGAAGGTATTGTCATGACCATTACTTACTTGGACCATGGGCTATTTTCCAAGGCTGTCCTTCATGGTTTTACTTGTAGTGTTTAGATCTCTTTTCTTTTCTCCAGCTTATTGGGGTATAATTGACAAATAATACTGTATGTATTTAAAGTGTACAGGGAGTTCCCTTGTGGTCTAGTGGTTAGGATTCAGCACTTTCACTGCCGTGGCCTGGCTTCAGTTCCTGGTAGGAGAACTGAGATCCCACAAGCCGCGCGTTGTGGCCAAAGAATAAAAAAAAAGGTAAAACGTAAAAGTAAGTACACAGTGTCATGATTATATATATACACACACACATTGTGAAATGATTACTACAATCAAGTTAATTAACACATCCAGTACCTCACATATTATATTTACATTTCCTGTGTGTGTGAGAACCCTTAAGATCTACTTTCTTAGCACATTTGAAGTATACCATACAGCATTATTAAGTATAGGCTCCATGCTGTATTAGATCCTCAGAGCTTTTTCATCTTATAACTGACCAACATCTCCCCATTTCCCCTAGACCTGAGCCCCTGGCCTTCTACTCTTTGTTGCTATGGGTTCAACTTTTTTTTTTTTTTCAAGATTCCATATATAAGTTTTAGCATACAGTATTTATCTTTCTCTGGCTTATTTCACTTTGCATTATGCCCTCCAGGTTCATCAGTGTTGTCACAAATGCATGATTTCCCTTTTTATGGCTGAATAATACCCCACTGCATATAAATACCAGGCTTTATTTACCCACTCATCTGTAGACAGGTACAGGCATATTGCAGATTTTGTTCCAGACCACCACAGTAAAGTGAGTATCACAATAAAGCAAGTCACACAGACTTTTGGTTTCCCAGTGCATATGAATGTTATATTTACATTGTACAGTAGCCTGTTAGTGTGCAGTAGCCTTATGTCTAAATAAACAACGTGTATAACTTAGTTAAAAAATACTTTATTGCTAAAATAATGTTAACCATCATCTGAGTTGTATCTTTTTGTTGATGGAGGTTCCTGCCTTGATTTTGACTAATCAAGGTGCTGACTGATCAAGTTACTGAAGGCTTCGGTGGCTTTGGTAATTTCTTTAAATAATATAACAATGAAGGTTGCCACACTGATGGACTCTTCTTTCATGAATGACTTCTCTGTAGCTTGCGATGCTGTTTGATAGCATTTTAAAACACAGTAGAACTTCTTTCAAAATTGGAGTCAATCTTCTCAAACCCTACTGTTGTTGCTTTATGAACTAAGTTTATGTAATATTTTAAAGCATTTGTCATCATTTCAACAACCTGCACAACATCTTCACCAGGAGTACATTCCATCTCAAGAAACCACTTTCTTTTCTCACCCATAAGAAACAATTCTTCATCTGTTAAATTTTTCTCCTGAGATTACAGCAATTCAGTGATCTTCCAGCTCTACTTCTAATTCTCTTGCTTTTTCCACAACATCTGCAGTTACTTCCTCCACTGAAGTCCTGAACCCCTCAAAGTCATCCAGAGAGTTGGAATCAAGTTTTTCCCAACTCCTGTTAATGTTGATATTTTGACCTCTTCCCATGATTCACAGCTGTTCTTAATGGCATCTAGATTGGTGAATCCTTTCCAGGAGGTTTTCAATGTACTTTGCCCCGATCCATTAGAGGAATTACTATCTATGGCAGCTGTAGCCTTATGAAATGTATTTCTTAAGACTTGACAGTGTAAACTACTTGATCCATGGGCTACAGAATGGATGTTGTAGTAGTAGACATGAAAACAACATTAATTTTATATATCTCCATCAGAGCTCTTGGGTGACCAGCTGCATTGTCAGTGAGCAGTAATATTTTGAAAACAATCTTTTTTCAGAGCAGTAGGTCTCAACAGTAGTCTTAAAATATTCAGTAAACCATGTTATGAGGAGACGTGCTGACATCCAGGCTTTGTTGTTCCATTTATAAAATATATGCAGAGTAGATTTAGCAGAATTGTTAAGGGCCTAAGATTTTCAGAATGATAAATGAGCACTGGCTTCAACTTCTAGTCACCAGCCTCATTACCCCTAATAAGAGAATCAGCCTGTCCTTTGAAGCTTTGAAGCCAGGCATTGACTTCTCCTCTCTAACTGTGAAAGTCCTAGATGTCATCTTCTTCCAACATAAGACTGTTTCATCTACATTAAAAATGTTTAGTGTAGCCACGTTCATTAATTATCTTAGCTAGATCATCTGGATAACTTTGGTATAGCTTCTACATCGGCACTTGCTGCTTCACTGTGTGCTTTTTTTTCACCTTGTACTTTTATTTTCTGGAGACGGCGTCTTTCCTTAAATCTCATGAACCAACCTACAGTAGCTTCAGACTTTTTTTTTTTTTGGCAGCTTCTCACCTCTCTCAGCCATCACAGAATTGGAGAGAGTTAGGGCCTGACTCCCGATTAGGCTTTGGCTTAAGGGAATGTGTGGCTGGCTTGATGTTGAATACAGATCACTAAAACTTTCTCCATATCAACAATAAGGCTCTTTTGCTTTCTTATTTGTGTGTTCACTAGAGTACCACTTTTAATTTACTTCAAGAACTTTTCCTTTGTATTTATTGATACAACTTGGTTAATACTGTTTGGTCCAAGAAGCCTGTCTTTCAGCCTATCTTGGCTTTTGACTTGCCTTCCTCACTAAGCTTAATCATTTCCAGCTTTTGATTTAAAGTGAAAGATGTGTGATCCTTCCTTTTACTTGAGCACTTAGAGGCTATTGTAGGGTTATTAATTAGCTTCACTTCAATATTGTTACATCTCAGGTAAGAGGGAGGCTTGGGAACAGGGAGAGAGATGGATTGGCCAGTTGGTAGAGCAGCCAGAACACGTATAATGTTTATCTATTAAGTTTCCTGTCTTATATGGATACAGTTTGTGGCACCCCAAAACAAAGATCACTGATCACAGATCACCATAACAAATGTAATAATAATGAAAAAGTTTCAAATATCTCAAAAAATACCAAAATGTGATGCACAGACACAAAGTGAGCAAATGCTGTTAGAAAACTGGTGCAAATAGGCTTGCTTGACACAGGGTTACTGGAAACCTTCAATTTGTAAAAAATTGTGTTATCTTTGAAGCAGAATAAAACAAGGTATGGCTGTACTTAGGTTGTTTCTAAACCTGGGCTATTGTGAATAATGCTGACATGAACATGGGGGTGCAAATACCTCTTTGAGATATGGATTTTGTTTTCTCTGGATATACACATAGAATTGGGATTTTTGGACCATATAGTAGTTCTTTTTTCAATTTTTAAGAAATTCCATACAGTTTTCCCTAATGGCTGTACCAATTTACAGTCCTACCAACAATGTAGAAGGCTTTCCTTTTCTTCACATCCTCGCGAACACCTATCTCTTGTCTTTTTTTTTTTTTTTTTTTTTGCGGTACGCGGGCCTCTCACTGTTGTGGCCTCTCCCATTGTGGAGCACAGGCTCTGGACGAACAGGCTCAGTGGCCACGGTTCACGGGCCCAGCCACTCCGTGGCACGTGGGATCCTCCCGGACCAGGGCACGAACCCGTGTCCCCTGCATCGGCAGGTGGACTCTGAACCACTGCGCCACCAGGGAAGCCCATCTCTTGTCTTTTTGATAGTAGTATTCCAAACAGGTGTGAGGTGATACCTCATTGTGGTTTGGATTTGCATTTCCCTGATGTTAGTGATGTTGAGCACCTTTTCATGTACCTGATGACCATTTGTATGTCTTTGGATAAATATCTATTCAGGTCCTTTGCCCATTTTTAATTGGATTCTTTTGTTTTTTATTGTTGAATTGTATGAGTTCTTATATTTTCTAGATATTAACCCCTTATCAGATAAACCCTTTACAAGTATTTTCTCCTTTTCCTTAGGTTGTGTTTTCATTTTGTTTCCCTTGTTGTTCAGGTTTTTGGCTTGATATACTCCCACTTGTTTATTTTTACTTTCATTGCTTGTGCTATTGGTGTCATCCAAAAAAATCATTGCCAACACCAGTGTAAAGGAGATTTTTCTCTGCGTTTTCTCCTAAATGTTTTACAATTTTAGTCTTACATTTAAATTTTTTAATCCAATTCAAGTTAATTTTTGTGAATGGTGTAAGATAAGGGTCTAGTTTTCTTTTTTTTTTTGTATGTGGATATCCAGTGTTCCCATCACCAATTATGGAGGAGACTGTCCTTTATCCATTGTGTGTTCTTGAGGTGCCTATCAAAGATGAGTTATATAAGTGTGCCTTTATTTCTGGGCTCTCTATTCTGTTCCATTGGTCTATGTGTCTGTTTTTATACCAGTGTCATCATGTGCTAATTACCATAGCTTTGTAATATTTTGAAATCAGGAAGTGTGATGCCTCTAGCTTTGTCCTTCTTTCTCAAGATTGCTTTGACTATTTGGGAGTTTTTGTGCTGCCATACAAATTTTAGGATTGTTTACTCTATTTCTTTGGAAAATGTCATTGGACTTTTGATATGGATTGTTTTCAGTCTGTAAGTTGCTCTTGGTAAAATTAACAGTATTCTTCCAATTTAAGAACACTGGATGATGTCTTTCCATTTATTTGTGTTTTCTTCAGTTTTTTCCATCGTTGTCTTATAGTTTTCAGAACACAGATATTTCATTGTTAGTTTATAGAAATGCAACTGCTTTTTGCAGATTGATTTTGTATCCTGCAGCTTTACTGATATTGTTTAATGGTTCTAACAGATTTGGGTGGGAGGAGTCCCTGTGGTTTTCTATATAAGAGCATATCTTCTGCAAACACAGACAGTTTTACTTATTTTGTGATTTTGATGACTTTTTTTTTTCTTTCTGATAACTATGTGTTCTGGCTAGGCCTTCCAGAACTGTGTTGAATAGAAATGTGGACAGTGGGCATTTTTGGCTTGTTCTGGATTTCAGAGGAAAGGCTTTTAGTTTTTAAACTTTGAGTATAATATTAGTGTGGGCTTATTGTGTATGGGTTTATCGTATTGAGATACATTCCTTCTATACCTAATTTGTTGAGAGTTTTTAACATGAAACTATCCTCAATTTGTTTAGTGCTTTTTCTGCATTTTTTGAGACATTCATATGATTTTTATCCTTCATTCTGTTAATATGGTAAGTCATGTTTTTTGACTTGTATATGAGGAACTATCCTTGCATCCCAGGGATAAATCATACTTGATAATGATAATAATGTAAGATTCTTCTTCTGCAGTAAAAACACCAAGTCTTAACCACTGGATGACTGCCAGGGAGTTACCTAAATTTTTTTTTTTATTATTCAATAGTGTAAGATTCTTGAACGTGTTGTTGAGTATTTATTAGGAATTTCTCATTCTATGGTCACCAAGGAGTTTGGCCCGTAATTTTCCTTTCTTGTAGTTTGCATATCTTGCTTTTGTATCAGGGTAATGCTAGCCTCAGAAATTGAGTTTTGAAATGTTTCTTCTTAAGTGTTTTGGAAGAGTTGAGGAAGGATTGACATTAATTCTTCTTAAAATCTTTGGTAGAATTCACCAGTGAATCTATCTCATCCTGGACTTTTCTTTGTTGGGAGATTTTTTTTTTATTAATGATTCAGGTTCCTTACTTGTTGTTGGTCTATTCATATTTTTTATTTCTTCATGACTCATTGTTGGTAGGTTGTCTGTTTCAAAGAATTTATCCGTTTCTTCTAGTTTATCCAGTTTGTTGGTATTTAGTTGTTCATAGTAGTTTCTTATGACCTTTTTATAAGTAGCCACTTCCCCAATGGAATTTCAAATCTCTTGTGTGGAACAGCATCCCACTGACTCATTCTTAGATGTGACACATCCATTTATGATGATGTTGCCTCCTTCCTATAAAGTTAACATGTACTTCACCAGCATTTATTTGCATTCAGGTTGCTGCTGTGGAGCAGAGGATGCAGAAGCACCCTTTCAACAAAGCATTTCTATAAGCATGTCACAGGCCAGGACTCACAGGGAAGGCTCATTTTCCCAGAAGAGCCACCCCTGTAAGAAGTGTAGTCTGATCTTGAGAGGTGTTTTTCACTTGGCTGAGCATGAAGAAACACAACACAGCCAGAAAGTGTTCGGGTGTAGAATATGTATGAAACGATTTCATTTTAGTGCAAACCTCCAGAAACACCAGAAACAGCATATGGCAGAGAAATCCTTCAGAAATGCTGTAGTCAGGGCCTTGTTTGTGAAAAGCTGCAAATGCCATGTGTCAAGGAAGCCCTTTACCTGTGAGGAAGTAGGGAAAGATTTTCTGGCCACCTTGGGACATCTCCAGCAACAGATCACTCACACCAGGGAGAAGCCAAACAAGATTGCCCAGCGTGAGGCAACTTTACAAAGCAGAGAAAGTCATTACAGCTGGGGAGAATTCAAGAAAGCCTTCAGCCCGAAACATGCACTTGTTCAGAACCAGGGTGTCCACCCTGGAAGACATTGTTTTGTGTGCAGTGAATGTGGGAAGACATTCAGGTACAAATCCTCATTTGTTGTGCACCAGAGAGTGCATACTGGAGAAAGGCTTCGTGTGTGTCGTGAATGTGGAAAATCTTTCAGGCGAACCTCAACCCTCAATCTGCATCGAAGAATTCATACTGCGGCAAGGCAGTACAAGTGCAGCAAATGTGGGAAATCCTTTAACCAAAACTTTGTCCTTATTTATCCCTGGAGGAGACACATTGGAGAAAATTGTTACTTGTGCAGTGAATGTGCACAGTTTCCTAGCTGTAGATCCATCCTAATTCGACAACGGACAATTCACACTGGAGAAAGGCGTTATGAGTGTACTCAATGTGGGATATCTTTTAGACGAAAATTTTACCTCATCGTACACTGGAGGGTTCACACAGGAGAAAGGCCTTACGATTGCAGTGAGTGTGGGAACTCTTTTACTAATAGCTCGGTGCTCGTCCTACACCAGCGGGTACATAAAGGGGAAAGGCCTTTTGCTTGCAGTGAATGTGGGAAATCTTTTACCAATAGCTCGATACTCATTCTCCACCGGAGAGTTCACACAGGAAAAAGGCCTTATGAGTGCAGTGAGTGTTGGAAATCCTTTAGTCATCAGTCTTACCTCACTCAACACTGGAAGGTTCATAGTGGAAAAAGGCCTTATGAATGCATTGAATGTGGGAAATCTTTTATGTCTCGCCGTGGCCTCCATTATCATCAGAGAGTTCACACTGGATCAAGGCCTTATGAATGTAGTGAATGTGGGAAGTCTTTTACCTCTCACTCTGGCCTTCGTTATCATCAGAGAGTTCACACAGGAGAAAGGCCTTATGAGTGCAGTGAGTGTGGAAAATGTTTTACCTCCAGCTCTGCCCTGTGTTATCATCAGAAGACTCATGCTGGAGATAGGCCTTATGAGTGCACTGTATGTGGGAAATGTTTTTCCTCTGGTTCCACCCTCAGTAATCATCAGAGAGTTCACACTGGAGAAAGGCCTTATGTATGCAGTCAATGTGGGAAATCTTTTTTCTCTAGTTCCAACCTCAGTAATCATCAGAGAATTCACACAGGAGAAAGGCCTTATGTGTGCAGTGAATGTGGGAAATCCTTTATCCAAAGGTGCTCCCTTCTTAAACACCAGAGAGTTCACACGGGAGAAAGGCCTTATGTGTGCAGTGAATGTGGGAAATCCTTCACCCAAAGATGTCACTTTCTTATACACCAGAGAGTTCACACTGGAGAAAGGCCTTACAAGTGCAGTGAATGTGGGAAATCCTTTTCCACTAGTTACAACCTCAGTAATCATCAGAGAATTCACACAGGAGAAAGGCCTTATTTGTGCAGTGAATGTGGGAAATCGTTTATCCAAAGATCTTACCTTCTTATACACCAGAGAGTTCACACAGGAGAAAGGCCTTATAAGTGTAATGAATGTGGGAAATCTTTTACCACTAGGAGGAACCTTCGTTATCATCAGGGAGTTCACACTGGATAAAGGCCTTATAAGTGCAGTGAATGTGGGAAGTCTTATATCTATAGTTCCATCCTCCAGGATCATCAGAGAATTCATGTAATCAAAAGGTCTTATGGGGGCTTCCCTGGTGGCTCAGTGGTTAAGAATCCACCTGCCAATGCAGGGGACATGGGTTCAAACCCTGGTCTGGGAAGATCCCACATGCCGTGAAGCAACTAAGCCTGTGCATCACAACTCTTGAGCCTGTGTCTAGAGCCCAGGAGCCACAACTACTGAAGCCCAGATGCCTAGAGCCCGTGCTCCACAACGAAGAGTAGCCCCCACTCGCTCCAACTAGAGAAAGCCCACACCCAGCAACAAAGACCCAACTCAGCCATAAATTTAAATAAAAGAATAATAAATAAATATTTTTTAAAAGGTCTTATGAATGCACTGTATATGGAAAATCGTTTAGAGCAAATTCTTATCTCACTGAAAACTGTAGAGTTCACAATACAGCAAAGCCTTTATGCATGCAGTGAATGTGATAAATCTTTTTCATCTAGGTCCAGACTTTGTTATCATCAGAGTGTTACGATCAGAACAGGGTCAAGGCTTTATGAGTGCAGTGAATGTGAGAAATCTTTTATCCAAAGATGTCACCTAATACACCAGAGAGTTCACACAGGAGAAAGACTTTATCAGTGTAGTGACTGTGAGAAATCTTTTACTACTAGGTGTGGCCTATGTGATTATCTGAGAGTTCACACTGGAGAAAAGCCTTATGAGTGCAGTGAATGTGGGAAATCTTTTTCATCTAGGTCTGGTTTCCATTAACATCAGAGTTCACACAGGATCAAGGCCAAATGAGTGTAGTGAATGTGGGAAATCTTTTATTTGTAGTTCCATTCTCCATGAACATCAGAGAATTCACACTAACAAAAGGCCTTATGAATGCACTGAAAGTGGGGAGTCCTTTAGAGTAAATTCTTATCTCATTGAACACTGTAGAGGTCATACTGGAGAAAAGACTTATAAATGCAGTGAATATGGGAAGTCCTTTTCGTCTAGGTCCGGCCTCCATTATCATCAGAGCGTTCACACAAGATTGAGGCCATATGAGGGTAGTGAACATGGGAAATCTTTTCCCCAGAGCTCTACAGTCCTTCACCATCAGTGTTCACAGAGGTGAAAGGCCTCAAGTGTCTGGTGAATGTGGGTAAATCCTTTACCTCTAGTTCCACCCTTTATTCATATCAGAGAGTTCACAGGAAAAGCCCTATTTGTGCCAAGAATTTGGGAAATCCTTTCCTAAAGAACTTTCTTGGGGCTTCCCTGGTAGTGCAGTGGTTGAGAGTCCACCTGCCATGCAGGGGACACGGGTTCATACCCCAGTCAGGGAAGATCCCACATGCCATGGAGATGCTAGGCCCGTGAGCCATGGCCACTGAGCTTATGCGTCCGGAGCCTGTGTTCCACAACGGGAGAGGCCACAACAGTGAGAGGCCCGTGTACCGCAAAAAAAAAAAAAAAAAATTTCCTCATTATACATGGTAGAATTTACACTGGAGAAAGGCCTTGAACATGCAAAGAAATGTGCAATTTTCTAGTTCAGGGTAATGACGTTGGGAGAAACTGAGGAGCCACCCATCTGAATTCAATCTCATATGTCCAGTTGTCCACAGGGGGAGATACCCCTTAAGTTTCAGTTACATGGGAAGCATGTGTGGCTATATTGCACTTTGTAATCTGTCCAGGGCTTTTCCCAGATTTATGTCACTGCCCATTTCTGTGGCCATTTTACCCCTATCACCTGGCAGGTCCACACCATGGACATCAGTCACCAGCCCAGTGTGCTCAGGGAAACTGACCTCTGTTCTTCCAAGTGTTGGAGCAAACCAGGAATAATAGCCCAGTCCCTTCGGGGTTGGTGTTCCCCTCTCTCTGACTACGTGTACAAAAGCCTGAAGGAATGTTTGCCCCGAGAACGTCATATGAATTCAGCTGACAATGTGCAGAGAAGGACAACATTTTCCAGGGACATGTTCTCAAATGCTCAGTTTTTCCGTCTAGCAAGTCACCAACCCAAACTGTGTGCCACACATTGTTTTGGTTTGTATAATATAGATGCCTTACTGTTTAAGGCCTACTTTGTTTTTGGAGTTCTTTGTACTGCTAGAGGTTTTTTATAAGGAGATTTGGGCTCCACAGGCATGGGCCTCAGGGAGGATAGTATCATGGCAAAAATTGGCTTGCCATTTTTGGTCAAATTTGCATTGGTGCCGGTGAAGTTGTAGGAGAGAGGGCAGGGCTTTTTGGTCCTCATTTGAAGCCTGGATGCTGTGAGTTTTAGGAGACTCAGACATTACCCTCAAGAGGAGTAAGATGTGACAATCTCAAGTTCTTGGAACAGCATGAATTTTTTCCCCTGTTCACAGGGGATATCACGAGAGATGTCAGCACTGTTGATAGGAATCTCCTCCCTTGGTTTTGCAAAGAGCATGTGCCCTGATGTCCAAAATTCCATGGGTGACAGTCACTGGTTGTAAGACTATAGGGGTCAGGTTTCTAATACAGAAACTGGGTTAGTAGGGAGCAGAGGGGACAGCAGCCAGCTCATTGGAATGTGCCTCTTCTAAAAGTGCATCCACGGATGTCTTTGTGATGATGACCGATGTGCAGGATCAGCGTGTACACAAATCTCAGAACCTTCAGGCATGTTTATCTTGTGTAGCTGAGGTCATTGTCAGAGAAGACAATTGGAAAGTTTTGTGGATTTTTGTAACCTCCCTGCAATGTTCGCCTCAAGGCCGTTGCTGCACAGGCAGAAAAAAGAAAAGTAGAGGAAAGTAGTCCAGGGATGTGGCTCTTGTGAGCCAACCAACATTCCTGTTGACTGAAGTGGAAATATCCTTTATTACTCGCCAGTGTTTGCTGCCACTGAGGCAAGACTGACACCCAGAGGGCGTGACAAAAAGATGGTGGAGTCATTATAGGGCTGTCAAATCTATTTTCCAAAAAAGTGGGGCAAACAGATTTTGTTTATCTTAAAGTGTTTTTTTTAAAGTTTTATTTAGGTGTAATTTACATGTAGTAAAGTACACATATTTAAAGTGAAGTATTTGGTAAATATTGATATACACATAATACCTGTGAAAACATCATCACAGTCATGGTAATGACCATATCTGTCACCATGTATTTGCCTGATGTCCTTTTGCAGTCTCTGTGTCCCTGCCCTTTTCAGCCCTCCAAGCCCCCATTGATTTATTTTCCATTATAATAGATACCTTTATGTTTTCTATAATTTATATGATGGAATCCTTAAATGTTTACTCTCTTTTTTCTGGTTTCTTTTATATTTTATGATTATTTTGTTATATGATGTTATATTTGTTATACAGATGTTATGTAAGTAGTTCATCCCTCCCTTTTATGTTCTTTTGTGGTTCAGTACTCTTATCTTTAGATATACTGCTATTTATCCATTCACTTGTTTATGTACATTTTGGGTATTTCCAGAGTTTGACTGTAGAAAATAAACTGGTGCAAACATTTGTGTACAGTTCTTAATATGGATATTTGTTTCATTTATCTTTTGTTCAAAAAATTAGATTGCAGTGTCTGAATCATGAGGTAGGTGACTATTTAGCTTTTGAAGAAACTAACAAATTCTGACTAAATATTTGTGTTTTTTACATTTTTACCAGCACTGTATGAGGGTTCCATTTTCTCCATATCCTAGCGAATACTTATTTGGTCAGTCGTTTTTAATTTTAACCCTTTTAATAAGTTTGTTACTCTGTCTCACTGTTGTTTTCATTGTATTTCCATAAGAATTCATGATTAGCATTTTTTCAGATGTTTGATCCCTTTTGTCGTTTGCTCTCTTTTGTAAAATATCCATTTTTATCTTCTATTTTATGAACTTTTGCTATATTCTTTCTTTTTTTTTAACAAGTAGGACATTGAAACAACAAAGATGTGTATTGGAGTGTCATCCATTTTCACTTGTTGAATAATGTGACTGTTTTATGGAAGAAATGCTTTCAGTACTGGAAGGGCATGCCCTGAGTTTTTTCAGTTTTTTTGTTATGCACGGTGTAATGGACACATGTTACCATACACTTTTAAGATTAATTTGCCCTGGGAATTCCCTGATGGTCTAGTGGTTAGGACTCTGCTAGGGCCTGGGTTCAATCCCTGGTCAGGGAACTAAGATCCCACAAGCCACTCAGTGCAGCCAAAGGGAAAAGAAGAAAAAGATTAATCTACCCTAATATGTTGTCCATCACTTTGTGAAGTCCAGACAGTGAATAATGACCTTGCTTTGTAGTGTTTGTCCATTTTCCTGCTCCATTATGGGGGTTGGTAGGTTGGAGCAGGACTCTTAGATAGACTAAATGACATCAGGATGAACAGTACGTTCTTTGAGTCTCCAAAGCCCGATATGGAGGGAGCTAGGAGGGCAGGGATCAGACTCTCCAAGCCTGGGTCAGGCAACCTGGGTTTGTAGCCCAGATGTTGGATTCACATCCTGGATCCTGTTGCCTTGACTCACAGATAAATGAGTCACTTACCTTCTCTCCTCCCCCAACCCTCTGTAAACAGGGATAAGGAGCGTCTTGTCGCCTGGCCTTTAGATGAGCTGCAGAGCCAAGGCTCCCATTCCCCGTGAGGTGGGTATGCCTGTGGTGACACACCGAGCCCAGCCACCCTGCGCTCCTCCTGACTAGCGGCCCGAGCTGATGCCGTGGTGCCACCCTCAGGAGGCCAGTGCTGCAGGGCACTGAGGCCTCGCGTGGGTTTCCCACCAGAGAATCTTTAGGTGACTTGTTGGAACTCCTTCAGGTTCAGTTCCTGACGGATGTACAGGCAGTGATGGTATTTAACTTGTTCTTTGTGAGGAGCAATAAAAGGAAGAGACTGGCACTTCCCTGGAGGTCCAGTGGTTAAGACTCCGTGCTTCCACTGTAGGGTGCACGGGTTTGATCTCTGGTCAGGGAACTAAGATCCCACCTGCAGTGCGATGCGGCCAAAAAAAAAAAGAGACCAAACAAAGAGGCAGACAACTCAATATAGGTAGGTGGCAGTTTTAATGGGCAAGGGAACTTATGAGGCTTGTCTTGGGTCTTGTCTTGGCTACAAGTTGTGTGGCT